CGATAGACAAATGAACAGTTACTGCAGATGTAAAAAAAAAAAAACGCGGCGAACGGACTCCGGCCTGAATCTGATTGGATAAAAGATCTGCTTACTTTAGACACTGAGGGTGTTTTAATTGCTGCTGGTTGTGAAAAGATAAATCTCAGTGAAGAGGCGATTCTCCACTTGTTGGTTGTAGCAGAAATTTTATCCAAGTACTTTTTTTGGGAAAGTCTTTTTTGAATATCTTTTGGGCTTTGAACATGTTTGGTCTTTTTTGGTTCAGCAAAACAAGCAATTTATAGGAGGGATGCACCGATAACAGGCCGGATACAGGGATCCGTGACAGTAGGGATAATATATATATATATATATATATATATATATATATATATATATATATATTATATGATATATATTGTATTATAATATATATATACATATATATATTTTATCCCCTAAGAGAGGTGGCGGTAAACGAAATTATAAATACAAATTTTCCTTGTTTCAAATTTTCAAAACATCCTCGTGTGACGGATATGATTTTGAAGCGACTTAATGGTGATCTACGTGGCGATGAAAGTGAGAGAGCGTTAACTGGTTTCCTGATAATTAAGCAGATTCTTTTTTTTGGGGGTCTTTTGGACATATCGCTTGTCCGCGGCCAAATTAAAATAAACTTCCCTCCCTGCGGCCATCGATCCAGCAACAGAGGTGCGAAACGGACATTAATTTTAGTTCACTTCTCGCTGCGCGAGGGAGAGGAGCGAGGGAGATCAATGGCGAGCAATAACAGCTGACTGCTGAGAGGGGGGGGGGGTCGAAAACGCTGACAAATAAATCATCTTTTGCTACTTTTCCTACAACCTCGACACTTTTTTTCCTTTTTTTAATCGCCTACAGACTGGTCCTTTGGGAAGGGAGAGGAGATGAGGCTTAAAGGAAGAAGTGAGGAACACAGAGATTCCGAGACTTTCACTTAAATATCGAGGCTTTTACGTTGAGTTTGGTTGAGGGAAACAAACGTGCAGAACTCCATAAAAAAGGGGGTCCGTTTAATTGTTGCTCCCCTCAAAAATAATTTCATTCATATTTTTGGGCTGAAAATAAGCACCATTACGTGTGATTGATGTGGCTCCGAGGCATGGTCTCTGGATGAATACCAAACAGGACTGGAACTTACAATGAAAACACCCCAAAACGTTTAAAAAAAAAATCAAACTCAGGCTTCCATAGAAGCACACAATTCAAAACACGACGTGGACGTGGAACGAAAAGCGGCGGCCTGTAAATCACTGATGTGCAAACTGAAGCGGGACATAATGAAAGGATACAGAACGTGTCAACGTGGGGCATCACTCCGGATGACATCGAGACCTCAAAAAAACACGCTTAGAAAGAAAATATAGTGTGTATCTGAGGGGGAAAGCAGCTTTGATTTGTCTTAATTAAAAATGAACACCGGTCAATTTAAATTCAGGTTTAATGACATTTTAGTCCTTAAAATAAAGCAACGCGACTGAAATCAATCCGTCAAATGTCTCATAGGAATATAATTAACAATATAATAATTAAACTGAGATTTGGAGATTTTGTAAAACGTCCTGGAAACTGAAAAAAATAAATGAAATACAGCTGCACTCAACAAGATGGATTACATGCATTTAATAGTATATACAATATAAAGAGAAATGGGCTGTGCACCATCGCCTTTAGTGGAGAATTGACATGGATGATTACAGGTGCTCACTTCTATTTAATTGTGTTAATAAGAAAATATGCTATATTAAACAAACACCCACCCCCACCCACCGCACCGGGAACAAACCACCACGCACCTACTGTTTATGATGCCATTTAACATGTTGTAAATATTGTTCCTGTAACATCTCTCCTCCTCCCCAATTGTCCACTTTTAAAAGATAATTATTGCTCGCTGCACGTGCGTGCCTGGGAAATGAAAAGGTTCGGCTGGTCGTTAGAAAAGCCAGGGCTGGTTGATCTGACAATCAATACAATCAATGTGAAGGGATTCATCACGATGGGTTCACTGGATCTGGAGTTTGTGAATTCTTTTTTTTTCTGAAGAACTATAATTCAATCTTCACAGTGCGGTGAGTTCAATGACCCGCCTCGGGCGCATCTTCGCTCCAAACGTGTGTTTTTACGCGCTATTTATTGCTGGCAGTGAGAGGACTTTTTCGACTTGGAAATTACTACTAATAGGTCTGCTGCATTTTTCCCACACTACTAATTTTATTATTCCCTGTTCGGAGTGTTGCGGCTTTGTGCGGCGGCGCGCCTGGTTTCGTGCGCGTTTAAGCGACTGCTCACTTGTTTGCTTTAGTGAGGTTCCTTCAAAAACACAAAACGGCACGGATGCGATTAAGACAAGAAAAACACGCGAGCAAAAAAAATATATAGGAGGCAAAATTAGTGCAAATTAGTGAAATATTTCTTCGACTGTAAAAAATACAATATAATATAAAATATCAGAAGTTCATCAGAAGAATCCAACTGACAAAAGAAATAAAAATAAAGTCATATGTCCACAGTTTTTTATTGTCCGCGCACGTCACTCCGAATAAGAACTTTGAATTTATACAATTTAAAAAAATTATAAAAACGAAATAAATGTCAAACCATGTCTACAGCACAAAGAATGCGAGGACGGACATCACAGAAATATAGAAATCATTACACAAACTCTTTATAAAGGCGTTGGAGTTGTTTGCCAAACATGATTAAAATAAATAAACCTGACTTCAGTAAAAAAAAAAAACTCGTTTCTTCTTAATGAGACACGGTAGTACACCAAAAATGTTAATAAAAAGTTAATGTTGTATCCGGTAAAACCGACGCAGCAGCAGCGGGACCTGGCGCTTGGGGAGAAGCCGATTTTGGCTGACTGTGCTCGGCCATGGAGCTGGAAGGCCCCCGGGACTTCCTCTGGCTGGGCTCTGCTTATTTAGGGGGAGGATGTAAATTATAGTGGCTCCCTAGTTAACAGGTGTTTCCCAACCGTGTGCCTGTGTGCATATGTGTGTGTGTGTGTGTGTGTGTGTGTGTGTGTGTGTGTGTGTGTGT